GCACCATCAGGACACAGGCCCTCCATGGTGCCCAGAAGTCATCCGGCACCATCAGCAAGGATACTGTCCTTTTATGCAAACCACTATACACATAACTCAGAATTTCTCAAGTGTTTCAGCTGGGACAGGCTAAAGTTTCAGAAAGTCACTAAAAGTATTCTCTCAGGGAATATCTGAGAGAAAATCTGAGGAGCACCTAATTTATAATCAGGAATTTTTCAACACTATTTCAAGGTTATTGCAATGATTTATTGAGAATCTCCAATAAAATGTGCATAACTTCCCCTAAATACAGATAGGTGACAACAAAAAATAGTTTCTTGCCTAATGACTCAAAAGTTGTACATAAAAAGGTCATGAAGGGTGAGGTGTAGCTCAGTCACAGAGCACTTGTCTAGCATGTCCAAGTGGTGGGTTAAATCCCTAGCACCAACACAGCACAGACATCCTGCCCTCTTAATTACTTTATCTGAAACTTTAAGTCGTGTCCTTCATAAAGACAGATCAGACAAAAATACTGTAGATATTTTTCATGAAAGTTTCACTTTCTTTTATGTATATGGACAATTTTAGATAAAATACAACTATCAAAACTAAAAATATCAATTTTTTTCTTGGGGGGGGATGGGGTACTGAGGATTGAACGTAGGGACACTCTACTCACTGAACTACATCTCCAGTCCTTTATATTTTTTTATTTTGAGGTAGGGCCTCATCAAGCTGGGCTCAAACTATGATTCCCTGCCTCAGCCTCCCAAGTGCCTGTAATTATAGGCACGCATCACACACCTAATTACAATCAGATTTATCTAAATTGTCTCAATGCCAGTGTGTATTCTACAATGGAATAAATTTAATTAAAATGAGTACTGGTAATATACAATTTTTACAAAAATGTACATAAAGTTTTATTTAGCAAAATTGAAAATTAAAAAAACAGCTGAGCAAATCCAATAATTCCTTAAAAAAAAGGACAAAAAGAGAAAGAAGGCAAAAAGATCACAGCCCAGATGGAACATGTGGTTTGTTTTACATTCATAAATTAACTACCATACTTCACACATTACAGATGAAAACAACATGAGAAAGCAACAGAGAAAAAGAAAGTATTTGATAATATTCACAGTCTTGAAGAAAAAACTGACCTCCTGGCAAACTGACAAAGGTGAGAATCTGTGGAAGCGGAAGGCACCTGAGAAGCCATCACAGAAAGCCAGGTGCAAGCTTGCAGCCCGGAGGCCTCCTCGCCCCCCACAGAGGGAAGCAGATCTGTCAGCACTGCCTCCACGAGAGGCCAGCTAGCCCAGCAAGAGGAGAAGTCACCGGGCTCCAGAACACCAGTGTCCACATGGAAAGCCCGACAACCTGCAGACGATCGCCACCATCAACAGAAGTCAAGAGGTTTCTGAATTCACAATCAGTATATGAAAGTCAATCACCTTTCCATACAGACAGGAAATGCAACCTGAAGATGACTCACAGCAATGGAAGAGATTAGGCCAAATGTAATGAAAGATTTACAAGACTTTAAGGAACCAAACGGTATCAACAGGAGGAAAAATACATTCTTGGATAAAGACCAAGTTAATCCTGAAGAGGATGAAAGATAAGCTCTGTCATACGGATTTTAAGAGAATGATGGATAGTGTGCTGTTAACCGTAACCTAAGCTAACAGGTAAGTGGAACAGAACTGAGCCAGAACAAGACTCAACCTTAGCAGGGAAGGGCTGAGCTAACAGGTAAGTGGAACAGAACTGAGCCAGAACAAGACTCAACCTTAGCAGGGAAGGGCTGCCTCAGGGATAGTAAGTATACAACTGGCTTTTAAACCAAGAGCAAAAATGTTCTGGGGAAAAATTATACCCACACTGAACACATACAGACATTTTTCTTGTCATTATCCCCTAAATAATACAGTATACAAGTATTTACACCATATTTACATTGTGTTGGTATTATAAATAACCTAAAGACGGCCTAAGTGCACAATAGGACGTACACAGGTGATATGCAAACACTAGGCTGTCCTACATAAGGGATTTGGGCGCCCTTAGATTTTGGTACCTGTGGGACTAAGGAATCAGAACCCCCAGATTGCCAAGGATGACTGTACTTTTAAAAGCAGGTGATCCTGAAAGTGGCAGCATGCTGGGGCCATGTGCTGCAAGGTCAACAGCCTGTGACAGCACTCTRCAATGACCAAAGCTCATAACAACAACCCCAAGATATCAAAAAACATGGAGCAAAACCATGCTAATCTAAAAAGACCAGAGTACCCATGTTCTGATGAGTTTCCACATAGAMTGGCTACAACACACCATTCTTACACTTGCAAGAATAATCACCAGCTTCCCACTAGACCCCTCTCACCGTGATTCCTACATGGTCAATACTGAGATTTCTAGATGGTCAATACTGTTCTGCAGTAAACTCCAAATGTCACTGAAAATTCACCATGAGCTAGCTCATRACTATCAGCTGATAGTTAAAATTTGTTAAATTTTCAAATAATATACAGACCTCTTAATATAGCAAGGAAATTCTATGAGAAAATTGTTCTGACAAAACAATAAATCTAAAAACAGTGACTTTATGTAGTAGAGTCCATTCAATCTGGGAATGTAATCAAGAATAATTACAAGCTGTTAAGAAAACACTACAACTTCAGAGACAAGAACAGTCTTGCACGTGTCCTCCTGGGTGATCACATTCCGTCTTGGCAAGGCATTTCCAGACAAAACTCCTATATTGAAGGTGAACTGATCCCTGGGAAGTTTTAAACCAGAACACCTTCATGTAGAAACTGGAAACCATCACTCATCTCACCTCAGTTATCAGATTTAAAACCAGAAGGACTGGCTTTTTTTTTTTTTTAACGTGTTTTGAATCATGTGTAAATTAATAGAAGAGCTCCCACTTGTTAGAACTCTGTGCACTTAACTTACTGAAGCATTTTGGAAACGAGGTAAGACAGGTGCAGGAGAGAAAACCGCCTCCAGCACTGTGGGCAGGAGGGGCCTCTCRGTAAGGCTCACCTTGGCACCTGTGGCGCCACTGCTATTTGGCATTTGTAGGAAGGAAAGTCCGGCCTTCAGGAAAGACTACTCCCCACTCAGTGGCCTACATCCAGGCAAGAGCATCTTTTTGGGGGTATTTGGTATTTAACCCAGGGGWACCTTTCCACTGAGCCACATSGTCATGTCCCCAGCCCTTTTTTATTTTGAGATATGGTCTTGCTGAGTTGTCCAGGCTCTCCTCAAACTTGCAATTCTCCTGTCTCAGCCTCGCCAGTCACTGGGATTACAGGTGTGCCCCATCTCTCCCACAGAACCTCTTTAATTTGGCACAACAACAAGAGTCAGCAGTACCTCATGAGAGGTACCACACAGGCTGTGTGTTTGCATAGCTCTCTGGCACAGACACCCGTGACCTGTAGGGCTACACTTCAGCTGATCACCGTGCACAGAAACACTCTCTCCCCACCTTTCCCCTCTGAATCCAAGAAACCCTTTTTCACTTGCGAGCAGTAGGCTAGATCAAGGGGCATGCGGGGCAAGAAAAGGCTTCCAAGTCATGTCACCAATGAGGAAATGTGCTCTGGAAAAGAAATGCCACCCAGTTGCCCCAAACTTGGCAGCAAGAAAGCATGCACTGCTCAGGGCATTGACGAGGTCTGCACAGTTCAGGACTCCCACAAGTGCCTGCTCCTGTGCAACAGCGCACTGAGCATCAGGGAATTCAGAGACGAAAGACTGACACCAGGACAGAGAGGGCTGGTCATCTACAAGGGGCATGCAGCTGCACCTCTACAGAGACCCCCAGGGAGAAGGCAAACATTGCCACTACCAGTGTTTAGTGAGGCAAGATGGGCAGGCACTGTGTAGGGCTTCCAGAGGTGGCATGTGGAGGGGTAGCACTGAGGCTGGCCTGGAGAGACCATCAGGGTACAGAAGGAAGGCGAAGAGCAAGATATTCTAGTGTCAAAAAACCTCAGAAGCGGGGTGTTTGGGAAATGAAGGAGTGTCTGCAGACAGCAGCAACCCACATCACTCAAGCTSACAGCCAGAACAGTGGAGGGGAGCCTGTGGCCCAGAGACAGGTGACCGAGGACCAAGCCAACAAGTGGAGGTGGCAGGAGGGCTCAGGTGGACGAGGGCCGGGGCAGCACGGGGGTAATGAGGAGGACGCACCTGTCAGGAGCTCAGGACAAGGGAGCAGCAGGCCAGAGCCACGGGGAGCAATGGGTCTGAGTCTCAGGAGCTTATGGCGGCAGAGAACAGGCAGCCCTGAGCTCAAGCTCCAGAAACCAAAGGCAGGAGAAGAGGTCGCCTGGGTTCCATCCTCTCCCATTTTCAGTACTGACTGACCACAGCTAGATCTGAAACGCCTCRAGCATGCCACCTCCAGAGGGGAAGGGTACAACTCTCCTAACGCAAGCACATGCTCCCCCACGCTCCTCAAAGAAAAGCCTACAGAATTACCAGGCAGAAACGGAGACTTCTTCTTTATAGCTTTCTTCTCTTTTTTATCCAACTTCTCAGGGCTTTCTGGCCCTTTCTCTGGCCCCGTGTCCGTGGGGTCTGCTTGCCCGGGGGACGCGCTGGCAGCATCGGGGCTCCCGGTTGGCCCTGTGGACGTCTTGGTGTGGCTGCAGTCGCTGGGCGGAGCTGCAACTGGAAGTGAAGACAGCCCACTGTTTTCTAAGGCTTGCTGGGACAGAAGAGAACTAGAAGGTTAGACGGCGGCAGCCACACCTGCCGCCACTCAATCCCACAGTGCCACACAGCTCACCCAGAGTCTAACTGCACTCTGAGAACTCATCCTACAACTCAAGCACTTAGTCACCAGAGGCCTCCAACTCTCCCAGACTGTAATGTCCCTTTTGATTTCTGACACCTCACCCCTACCCACCAGCAGTCACATCTCTTAATTAAAGAGAAATAACATCATCAATCGACCGACTTTCAGAAGCTTACCTCAGACAACCCAGGTGGTCTCTGAGCAGGCCTGGGGCTCTACCTCAGGGCATGAGGACACTCAGGTGGTATCCTAAGGTTCCCTATCACCTTGGCCCACTTCTCCCCACCAGGTACAGGGAAGAAGCTGGCTTAACAGAAGAGGAAGAGGAGGAGGAGGACCACTTTTACTCTTTYAGAGCAAAAAACAGGGTTTTCAATGTTTTTAATGTATTAATGAGTGGATCACCTGGGATTCTACACTGTCCATGGGCCTCAAAACAGCATGCACTTCTCACTGTCTCCTCCTCCAGTGCCCACGTGCAGCCAGGTGCCTTCACTCAGGCAAGCCTGCCTGCCCACCTGGCACCGTGACCCTAGTTTCTGATAGCACTCAGGTGGAAACCTCAGGCAGGCAGGCAAATGTGCTTCACCTGTAGAATGTCCTGGTTGATGCCCACTGTGATGCTCAGCTGCTGCCCGGGCTGTGGGGACTGGTGGGACTCCACAGGCCCTGGCTCTGAGAGTTCCAGAAGCTGCTGGATGACATCCGTCACGGCCTGAGAGTTCTGCTGGCTTGAGGCTGCGGAGGCCTGGGTGTCCGTCTGCTGCAGAGGCAAGGTCTGAAACAGCGTGGCCTGGAATGCAGCAATACRGTCAGGAGAAACAAGGCTTTCCAACTTCAACAGAAGAAACAGTCACACACACTGTCCTCAAGAGCACTAACATCTAGTAGAACCCTGACGTTAGAAAGAGAGACATTCTGTCTATGCAYGCTAATCAACTCTTAAATTATAATGCAAAGATAAATAATATTCAATAATTATCAATCACACTGATGGTAGGAGTTGTAATTCCATGAATAACTGACATTTCATCTCACTCTAATGAGTTCAGATGGTATCATCTACTATTATTCTGAAGTTTAAAAAGATTGACTTTCACTGATTAACAAAAAAAGCAAYACCTTATCTCCAGAGAAAAACCTCCACAGACCCTTTCTGGTACTAATACAAATTTCATGTTCAATGTTAAAGGTTGTACTTAAAATGACAGATTTTAGTTAAAAAAATAAATAAATAAGCAATCCCCTGATTCCCAAGTCCCTAAACTTACCGTGATGACGTGCGCGGTCCCCGCAGAGCTCGTGGGATTCGGGGGCCCCCCCATGTGCATCTTACTGATGTGCGTATTCAGGCTGCCGAGGCTCTTGAATACACAGCTACATGCTGTRCAGTTGTAGGTAGGACCACTCTTGACCTGACAGAAAAGGAGAAAAAGTTGTTTTGAAAAGTATATTTAAATTATAGCAAGTCATAATTTATTATTCCATTCAAAATGATAAAAAACAAGCCTTCAACATTGTTCTTTCTTTTGAAGTAGACAGCTATAGAATCAATGACCCAACTCTTTGATATTGAGATTAACTGAAATTGTAGTCTTTGTACATGAGAAATGGCTCAAGTTAAGAAACATGCTTTTCATTTATTGTAATTTAATAAAAAATAAAACATCTAACATGTTTTCAGTTTCTTAAACAGCTGAACATAATGTTCAATAATGAAGGTTAGAGAGAAACATGACTGAAAAACKAGTTTTCGAGGGCCTTAGATGCAGGTTGAGAAGAAGGACCACAATGTGTACATTTTTCATCACCAATTTTGATATTCATTATCAAGGACTAATTTTTAGAACAACAGTAAAGCTAGAAACAGACCATAGAGAGTAATAAAAATAAGAACGCCTGTGAATAGAGAAAGCATCCAAAACATTCACTATTACTAAAACCCCCGTGAGTTACCATTAGTGAGGAAGGCTTGCTTGAAAACTCACTGGCCCAGCTGAATGTGAGGAAGAACCTCCACTCTATTTCTGGCACCTCACCAAGAACCAAATTTAAGGACTGGATAATAGTCACACTCTGCAGAGGCCACTCTGGAACAGCCCACCCCAGCACAGGGCTCAGGGCATCCTCAAGAGGCACAGGCCAGTCCCTGCCCACTGCAGGGCTCTCTATATGAGGGGCACAGGGCATCCTTCAGCACTGTCCCGAGCTCCAGGGAGGCATCCCCCAAGCCACAGACAACAGCGATCCCCAGCAACACAAGAGGAGGACTCCAGGCCCCAGAAAACTCCCAGGCCAGGCTTCCCAGGCCAACCCAGGCCGACGTCACACGCCCTTCTACTGCCTCTAGGCCTTGGATAACAAAGATTTTTTAAAAATAATTTATTGATTTTGGAATTCAATAAATTATGTTTTAAAAATAATTTGTTATTATTTTTGTGATTATAAAATTATATTTTAATGTGATTATAAAACTACGTGAAGTATATAGGGTTTTTAAACTTAAAATTCCATTTTCTTCATTTTAGATTTTATTCTGCTATTCTATAATCAAAGACAATTTCTACCTTTGTTTTATTATGTTTTTATTAACTCCCTAGTCATTTAAGAGGTGCCTATGGTTTAACTCCAAGGAAAAATTAAAAAGATAAATATTTACTTTTTAAAATACAGTCGTTTTCATTGCTCAAGATGTTTCGTGGACTAAATTTATCCATAACAAAAGTATTTGTGTTGCTTAAATATTTCTTTATATTCTACAGTAATAAGAGACCAGATCATGACAATTAGTAAGAGCAAAGGTTATCCTACTTAACAAAAGTAATGCCAGAGAATCTGCAAATCACTGGGACCCAAAGACAAGGGGGACGTAGTCACAGTGGATGGAACATGCAGAAAGGCAGAGCCAGCAGCACAGGCTGGAGAGCCTCTGCAGGCCACAGGCCACGCTCACGTTAAGGGATGTCAGCAACAGGAACACTGCTTTCTTCCTCTCAACTTTATATTTTGTCTTTCAGATTCTTAACTTACTGTATCTATATTTTGAGTTCACTAAAGGGATGACAGACATTGTTTGGCTAATAGATCTTAACTAACAAAGATATTATGATTATTTTCAGATACTTATCCATCTAAGGTTCCACATACATTTTTACCTATTTATCCAAAAAGTTCCAATACACATTTCTTCTAAAACAGGTTGCTCAGCACAAACTCACTCTGCAATTCTAAACAATGGTTCACCCTTAAGGCAAGGTGTCTCCCACASGCTGTGCAACCCCCAGATGCATGCTCACCTCTGAGTGAACTCTCTGCACGTGGGACTGGAGATTCCCCTTCTGAGAAAAGGCAGCAGGGCAAAAGGCACAGGCATGGGGCTTCTCGCCCGTATGCTTGATCATGTGGGTCTGCAATGCCCCCTTCTGGTTGAAAGCTTTTCCACACTCGCTGCATTTAAATGGCCTTTCACCTAGATGGGGAGGAAAAGGACCACTGTGTGAGCATCTTAGGACTGCAAAGAGACACACACAAGCTACCTAAAATCGAGTCCCCAAACCTCTCTCTCCAGCCAAAACTGCTTCCCGAAATTCTACACTCAGACACACAACTGTCTTTTCAATATATCAAAGTGTAACACGTCCCAAACAGAACCTCTGACCATCGCCCAAAAGCTCCAGGGCAACCCTCCRACCAAGTCCATCCTCCTGGGGCCTGGCATCCTGCCTGAGGATCCTCTTGGGCCCACACTCCCTGCCAGCAACTTCTGGTTCTGCCCTCTGCACAGCCCCATGGATGCACTGCCGCTCCGTGGCCTGCAGGGGCTGCCCTCAGCTCAGCAGATGAAGGAGCCCTTTCTAGAACTGAGCCAGGGCTAATTGGCTGGGGCCCAATGCCTGCGCTCAATCCTCAGTCTCTGGCTGATACCCCAGCGTAACAGGCAGCTCCAGTCTTGACCTGAGATTTGGTCTGGAGCATCCATCCCAGGACTCACAGGCTCACTCCCTCATGTTCTTTGGCCCTAGTACAAAATCACCTTCTCAGGGATGGCTTTTCAGCTTCTTGGAATGCTGTCCTGGGAATGCCGAACCCCTCCCCCTTCCCCATCCCCTCCAGCACATGGCTCTTCACATCCTATTCTTATCCATCTTCCTTTGCTAGAATACATGCTCCAGGAAAGCCCAGGCTTTGTCTGTTTTGCACAGGACTCCACCTTCAGTTCCTAAAACAGTACCTGACACAGATTAACACTCAACAAACATTCTCTGAAGAATGATTAAAAGGAAAAATGAGGTACGTTAAAACCCAGTTGCAAACTAGTTTAATTTCAGATCTCACTAAGGACTCATTCCCTAGTAAGTATACAAGAGCTAATTCAGAAATAACATCAGAGAGCTGTGTGCAGTGGCACACGCCTGTAATTCCCCTGCTCAGGAGGCTGAGGCAAGAGGACTGCAAATTCAAAGCCAACCTCATCAATTACTGAGGCCCATAAGCAACTGAACAAGACCCTGTCTCTAAACAAAAAATAAAAAAGGGCTGGGAATGTAGGGTCAGTGGCTAAGCACCATGGGTTAGGTCCCCAGCGTGAGCGCGCACACACACACACACACACAAAGAAGAAATAACACCAGAGGACTCTGCTACTCTGAGCAAGTCTCAGGGTTAATTAGGTAACTAAATGAGACAGCACAACCTTAGAGATATGGCTGGGACAGGAGGCAGCCTTCCCCCACCCGGGGACATGCTGGGGACGAGGGGCAGCAACTAGGAACCGGGTGCTGGCCACGGGTGAACCTGGTGGTCACAGGCAAACTTGGTGAAGACATCCTTCCTGTTCCAGGTCTAAGTGCTGAGAGGCTCCCCACCTTCACGGGATGGGACCTGGGCGGCACACCCAGGCCCGAGGAGCAGTCTACCAGGAGGCCACTGCATCCCATCGCAGGCACCCTGAGGCACACCACTGGAGATAGCAAGCCCAGACCACCTTGTCCTTTCCTGAGACCACTGCAGTGATCACCACCACCTCCTTCCAGGRCCAGCCTGGGTGAGCTGAGGAAGCGGGCCAACCTGAGCCTGCCAGAGGATGGACATGCTGCCCCCCAGTCCTCCAGGCAGCCCAGAGGACAGGAAGAGCATATGTGTGGTGAAGGTGTGGACAGGCATGTGCGTGGACCTCTGGTGTGAGGATACTTATGACATGTATTCACGAAGGAAATCTGAAAGGGGCAGACACTGAACTGTTGAAGGCATCTGAGGGTGGCTTGAGGATTCTACCTGGCTCCACTCTGTGGAAGGTATATGACGCATTCAAACTATTTTTTGTTAATTAAAACTTTAAGAGAGATAAAATAAAATTTAATTTCTACAAATACACATGCACTACCTACCTTTACAAAGATTTACGTTCTCTCTCCCTTGCACTACAGGATAAACACAAGCTGCTACTCTGAAAATACCCACTTGGTCCCCACATAAACAAGCTCTGACATCTGAACCMTTCCAAGACACAACAGGCGCTCACTAAAACCCTGGGGAGGGAAGAATAACCCGAACAACAGCCCCTAGGCAGGTGTAAGGGCCTTGCTCTGGCACTGTGAAGGGCGCTCCAGGCAGGACAGCAAAGGGCTACTCTGCCAACTCACGTTAAGTATCCACAGGCTTGTCCTC